TGCATGCTCGAAGCAGCAGCAGCAATGCTTGACAGTAAAGAGCCTTACCCCCGCAGCTGACAGCAGCAGCAGCGGCAGCACGAAGTAGTAGTAGTAGTAGTAGTAGTAGTAGCAGCAGTGGTAGTGGTAGTAGTAGTAGTAGTAGTAGAAGTAGTAGCAGTAGTAGTAGTAGTAGTAGTAGTAGCGGTGGTAGTGGTAGTAGTAGTAGTAGTAGTAGTAGTAGTAGAAGTAGTAGCAGTAGTAGTAGTAGTAGTAGCAGCAGCAGCAGCAGCACTTGTAGTAGCAGTGGTGGTAGTAGTAGTAGCAGTAGTAGTAATACTAGCAGTAGCAGTAGTAGTAGTAGTAGTAGTAGTAGCAGTGGTAGTGGTAGCAATAATAGTAATAATAGTAGTAATAGTAATATTAGTAGTAGTAGTAGTAGCAGCTGTGGTTGTAGTCGTGGTGGTGTTGTTTGAAAGCCAAACAGGCTGCGCAGGCTACACATCTTCTGCAGTTTCCGCAATAATAACATGAAAGGGATAAGCGGCTGTTGCAAATTGCAGAAGTGGGAGTCATAGGCTCCAGCAGCGATGACAATAAGAAATGGAAGCAAGGGTAACTGATCAAAATTCCATCCAGCACCGCTTCTCGATCATGAGTCTCTTTGGGTGGTTCAAGGCGAGGAGCACTCCTGTCCCCCTCTTGCTTGGAATCACAAATCTATACCACTAGTATCAGGGAGTGCCTCTATGACACTATGAAATTCGTGAAGCGGCTTTTGCCGTAATTACGGATGGCGTGTTGCAGTGCACCTTGGAGAGACAAGAGTCTACTCAGTCTACTCCGAAACGTGAGTACCAACAACAAGAAGTTGACAGTCTCACTGCACCTGCTGTTCATAAGACACAGGAGTTGACTTCACTATACGCAGGGACTTGTGTAAACGGGCCATAGAATCTCGGTCTACATTTCTGGCAGAATTCTGCGAAAGTGGAAATTATTGCCGAGGATCGGCTTAGCTGCCGAGTGGTTTGTACTCCAAAGCAGGAGGGCAAAGTTGCTGTTAAGGATTTGCGCCCACTTTCGGTCGCTGCTGCTGCATGGAGGATTCAATGCAAACCGCATACTCAGAACCTCAAGTAAGACGATATCACTGAAGTCCTACGTAATGATCATCATTGACAAGCATGGCTAAGCACAAGATATGCACTCGAGAACAACTGTCCATCAAACAATCTGAGCAGGTTGTGACACAAAAGTCGCTCCCACGTTTGCTTACACATGCATGGTAGCCAGGCTTATAGAATCTCAGATACGCAGACTTCCGACCGCCATACAGCATGCGCGCGAAGGTCATGACATATCATGACTGATTTCTCCCTGGAGTGGAGCCTACAGCATCGCAGGCGTTGCAGAGCAAACTTCCTCGTTGTTGGATGAACGCAGTAGTGGCCCAGTAGTCTAGCACTTTAGTCGGCAATGCATCCGAAATAGGGAGGTCTATGACGGCTCCTGGCCTCCATTGGCGGCAGCGGCTCGCCTATCCCCGCACGGGTTGCATTGGACAGCGACAAGCTGCTGGAAATGCTGTGCTGATGAAGCCGTTGCAGCAGCGCTTGCAGCTCACTGTCCGTGCAGTAGCAACCATCCTCAGAGTCATCGTTGACGAGCTTGGCAAATTCCTCCAGCCCAAGGCCCTGCGAAGAGCGGCTTTCGTGGCAAAGAGCTTCAAACTCCAGCTGCCACTCCAGATCGGTGCCAGTGAAGCCGGTTTGCTCCGCAAACGGCCGCATGTCACCAGCTGCAAGGAAGCCATTGCCCGCCGTGTCCAGAGCAGTAAACACCGCTTCGATACATCCTCGTCTGGAATTGGCCTGGCAAGCAAGACGCAGCCTGGCACCTTGAAGGTTCTACATCGGCTGGGATACTGCTGGGATGTTCGCTAGTTTCCTGTAGTGTTCGTGGGGCAGCCACGTGACCGAGGCACGGACACAGCACTAGTGTAGCTACAGCAACACGTCTTTAAACACCTTCTACAAGGCTTGAAAAAAGCATTGCCGAATCCGCCACCTTCATAGGCCACCCGTTCGACCACTCTCCCTCCCCTCATCTCCCCTCCCCTCTCCTCCCCCCTCCCCTCCCCTCCCTTGAGAAG